CACCTGATCTGAATGGTAATATCCAAATTCGGCCCCCCCCCCTGCTTCCAGAAAGACAGTACATATAATAAATAGCTTATCATATCAGATAACAAATAAAATGAAAAGTACAGAAAATTTCATATTGAACAGTCATATAATTGTAAATGGAAATATGTATTTTCCTCCCTTACCAAAGTATTTGAAAAATTTGTTCAAGGAGTGGAACATCATTAATCTGCCCAAGAAATCCACACAACCTTAGTCCAGTGATGAACACATCTAGAGGAGGAATTTCTCATCCTATTACTTCTCTTAAGTTTGTCATGGTCAGTCAAGTCACATCTTGTTGACAAAAGACTAGAAATCTAGGTCCCTCCCTCTCCCTACAGGATACTCAGCTAATCTGTAACTGAAGCCAAATGTAAGCCTACTCCGATGACCCTAATTGAGACGACTTTCACTGTTGACTTGAATTAATGCAATAGCTTCCTTGAATTTCAAGTTCTTCTCTCCTGCAAGTGAGATTAATCTTCTCAATATGTAAATCTGATCATATCACTTATTTGCATGAAGCACTTTCAGGACTTGCCATTGCCCTCAGGATACAGTGTAGTCCATCAAGGTTGCATGCCCCTTGTCAATTATTCCCCTAACTACCTTTCAGTCTCATTTGTCTCCATTTCTCTCCCTACTGCTTTAAGTTTTGCCCTAATTACTTTAATTCCCAAGTTATAATTATCATGCTTTTGCAGAACTCACTGTGCCACTCCCCACCACAGACGGTGAAGGACAGGGAAGGTGTAAAGGTTTGAAATGAAAAATATATTGTTACAAAAGTACTATATAATTTCTATGCAACAGTTTGCTAAAAGTTGTAAGTAGATTTTACATTTAAAATGTTATAAACCCTAGGGCAACAAATGAAACAATGTAAATAAACAAGATAGCAGTTCAAAAGAGTATTTGACACCCAAACCAAAGGCAACACAAGCTGAAATAATCATGTGGGACTAACATCAAATTAAATCATTTGTGTAGAGCAAAGAAGACCATTCACAACATTAAGAGGATACACACTGAAAGGGAATATTTACAAATCAGATCTGATAAGTTTAATGATTAAAATATGTAAAGAACTGATACCACTTAATAGAGTAAAGAATAGACAGAATTTTTAAATGGTCAGAGCATTTGAATACATTTTTTGTATATCAAAAAGTTCATGCAAATGTGCTCAACATCATTAATCATCAAGGAAATAACTGTAAATCAAAAATAAAATATCACCACATACCTTACAGAATGACTATTCATAAAGATAAGAACTAATCAGTGAAGATGTAGAGAAAGTGATCGCTTCTGTACTGTTGGTGAAAATGTAAATTGCCGGATATAATAGAAACCAGTAAGGAAGATCTTCAAGAAACTTAAAAATAGAATTATCCTATGACTTAGCAATTCCCCCTTTGTGTATTTATTTAAAGGAAACTAACTTGAAAGAATATTTGTATTCCATGTCCACTGCAACAGTATTTAAAAATTGTCAAAAAAAAAAAAAAAACTTGGTTGAAAAAAAATGGAATAGTATTCAGACATGGAAAAAGAATCTATTTGTAACAACATGAATGGATCAGGGCATTAAGTGAGAAGTACAACAAACAAAAAAGGCACTATATGCCTTAACTTATATGTGGAATCTTTTCTTTAAAAAAATATAACTCCTAGAGAAGAGATTAGTATTTGCCACAGGCAGGGATTACAGGCAAAATGGGTGAAGGTATAAACTTTCAGTTAAAAAAGTCATAGGATATAATGAAGGCATGTTGATAATAGAAGGCATAGTTAATAATACTGTATATTTTAAAGTTAGATCTTAAAAGGTTTTATCAAAAAAATAGTGTAGCTACACATGGTGATAGATGTTAAATTATTTTGTTCCACAATATTTATGCATATTGAAGCATTGCTATATACCTAAAACTCATGTAAGTAGTATATATATGTTGATTATACTCAATTCTTTATAACTGAATCTTTTAATTCAAAAGAATTAAAATGCAAAATAAGGGGAAAATTCAAGGAGCAAATAGACAACAAATAGCAAAATGACATCCCTAAATGCAAACATGTTAGTAAATATATTTTACTTAAATGTGGTAAGCGACCTAACAAATAACAGAGACTATGGAAATCATCGGCCTGATTTAAAATTAAGAACTAACCATTTTCTATCTACAAGAAAACTTTTCAATAAAAACAAATACCATATTTTGAAAGTAAGTAACTGGAAATGATATACCATGAAACATTAAGCATTAGACAAAGTGCCTATAAAAGTCATTTGAAATGATTTAAAGACAAGGAGTCATACTAGTGATAAAGACAGACTCTAATATTAACAGATCAATCATCAGAAGAACATAGCTTAATATAAGAGCTTTAAATGCATGAAATGAAAATTTAAAAAACTTAGGGAACTATAGCAAATTCAATCATAACTAATGGTTTTAACACATATCTCTAATAGAATAACTTAGAAAAAATAAATTTTGGGAAATCTGAACAGTGCAATCAACCATAATAACTTTAATGACTTTTACAGACCATTGTACCCAAACACATGTATTTCAAGTACATGTGGCATAATGACTAGCATTGGGCATATCCTGATCCATAAGACAAACTGAGTCAAATTCAAGGTGTAATTATCACAATAAAATTAAAATCAACAACAAAAAATGATGGTATTAACTAAATACATGGAAATAAACTAACTCAAAACTAAAGTATCTGCAGATAAAAGTAGTATAAATTAGGGGGTGAAATTGAGTAAATAATTTTTTGAAAATGTAATCAAATTTCTCTTTCATCTAAGTAATGCATGGAAAACGAGTATTTATGGTTTAAAAAAA